CTTGATTTACTTAATTTTGTATTAGAATTAAGAATCACTTTGATTTAGATTTCAGTTCTATAAGAAAAATATAAATTGTATTTTAAAGGAGACATATGATTCTCTCTAATCTTTTTTCATTTGCTTTTGATTTTATAAAAAATAACAAAAATGTCCATTTGTTTCCTTAGTTTTTGAAATTCCTGAAATTCTGTACCCCTAGGAGTCTTTCTCTAAGTCTAATATTGAATTTACTACACAAATTAGACTAAAAAATCAGATTTTCTTTATATTTTAATCAAGCCCACTTGTTTACTGTGTTTTAGGTCAGATAGTACACAAGAGTAGTCATTTTGAATAGGGAAAGGAAGATGAAGGCTTTATAGTAACTGGTGGAATGTAAATTGATAGATGCTTAGACACTAGACTGTTAAATAACCTTGATTGGAACAGTCTTGCCAGCTTTAGTGTTCAGGCTGTAAGCCACTGAGCTAGAGCAGGAGCAATGCACTGTAGGTTTCTATTGTTCTTTAGTCCTGTCTTCACTGTGTTCAATACATTTGTGAGCACCTAGCTGAAGGCGAAGGCAGAGCTGTTTAGTTTAATTTATGTTTCACCCAGGAAGGTGAACTGAAAACACTCATGGGATGCAGCGATGTTTCCTGTGTTGCCCTGTTGATTGTTGTAGCCCTCCCATGTGAGAAAAAACATCATTTTCTCCCCTCAGGGGCCACTGTATGACTTGTTATTAGGAGCTGGTTTAGTTTATGAGGTTTACAGAAACACAAACTGTATAAATTTCTCCAATGAGTACTCATAAAGATTGAAATAATTGACAAGTATTTGAAGTTTTGAAAAAATTATATATATTTTAAAAAGATTATATATATGTAAAGGTATTAATATACATATAAAAACAATTTTAGATTATTTAGAATTAGTTTTGTGTGTAAAATATTATGCTTATTAATAATATAAATATGAAGCATTATGAGTCTTTGAAACATTGAACTTTAAGAATAGCTATGTGTTAAGAACTATATTGGGTGCTTGCATATATTATACATTTAGTTTCTAAAGTGAATGTATTATGTAAATACCGCAAGCACTATTTCAGGGTGAATTCCTAAAGGCTGTGGCTTTAGCCAAGATGTATCACTGATAAATGCCTTTCTTTAGGTCAGAAAGTTCTTTCTCTTAAAGCATTCAGCAGATAGAGTTGCTATAAAGATAGGAGATAGTGAAGTGACTTAAGAAATATGCAAGTAGTATGATAAGTGAAAATCTTGGTTGTAATGCTGTGTATTGTGTTTCTTTCACAACTTAGTTAAAATGTGTTGAAAGAAAAGATCGCAGGAAAATCTTCAAATATTGTTAGTATATGGTTTAGGCTATAGAGTTTTGTGTGGTGTTTTTCCTTTGCTGTATTTTGTAAAATGTCTGTAATTGTGGATAAATTCCTCTCAATTATTAGAGTACCGGTAGCATCGTCCATGAGCGTGTCTACAGTTCTTATGTCTTTGGGATGCTTCTGGAAAAACTGCACAGTTGTTTGAGCTTGTATTTTTCTAAATTCTAGATCATCAAGTTATTGAATGGAAAACGATCTCAAGCTGTGGGAATTTTGATATCTAGTTTACATTTAGAAATGAAGGATATTCATCAAGGTAAGTCTTTTTCATCATTTCTCCTGACATTTAACTTTTTAAAACATTTTGCTGTGAAAATTTCAAACATATAGAAATTTATAATCCGATTATAGTTATAATGTGAAATTGTAATGTCCCTGATACCCAGCTCTAGGTCCATCAGCTCACTTTGGTTCCATTGAAAGCACCCCCTTAACCAACTCTCAGACATTTTTGTAATTCATGTTTAAAAAATTAATGCTACCAACAAAAGACATTTCATTCAAACATAACTCTAGTGCTATTTTTATGGCTTTAAAAAGTTTAATGATTTCTTGGTATCATCAACAATTTGTTGATTCTGGTTTCCTCAGTTGTCCATACACTCACTAATACCCCTTTATTTATATTTACGTTGAGTGACTATATAGCTATTATGCATGACAAACATCCTGCATTGTCACTGATGTGTATGTCAGTAGGCATCAATGATCTTTGCCAAAATTATTTTATTAGAAAACTGCAAAATCATGATGCACGAATTTATTTTCTTTTTCATTACCAGTAATACATCTATAGAGAAACATCTTTTCAACCATTTTGTTTTATATCATTGTTTCTTAATCTCTTCTTTTTTCTTTTTAAAAAATGTATGTATTTGGTACAAGGTCTCGCTACACAGCTCAGACTTGTAGCAATCCTCCTGTTTCAGTCTCCCCAGTGCTGGGATTACAGGCCTGCGCCACCACACCCAGTCTCATTGGCTGGCTCGGCTGGCCCAGGATGGGACCAGCAGGAAATGTGCTGGGGACTGAATCTGGATCCTTGCATTTGCCAGGCAGGTGCTCAGACCACTAAGCTATCACCCCAGCCCTCTCTTCTTTTTTAAATGACATTATTTCTGCTTTGTTATCTTTACCTCAATTTTAATGAAAGGTATTTAAGGAAAAAATTATATTTGTATATATTTCTTAGTTTCTAACAAAGTGAAACAAAAGTCATCTTACCTTTTAATTTTTTTTCTTGTATTAAGACAATATTCCCTTTTATCAGTAATGAATTAAGTGTAAATATTTTGGCATGTTACTTACACAATCGGTGAGCTGTTTCCAACAGAACTTACCTCCATATAACAGTGAAAACACTCAGAAACCATTCGCCTTTTAGTTTATTATTCAAGTTCCTCAGTTCCGTCACTCTGCTGCTCAATGTAATAGAAGACTTTGAACTAAGAAGCACTCAGTTGCCTTTACACTCTGTTTTCCCTACCAAGGTAGCTGTGGTGGAGAATTAAATTCTTAAATTCCACAGAAGCAAAAAATATCCTAGAATAAATGACAGTTACAGGGTAGGGGCTGGGGAAATGGCTTGGTGGAATAAGTGCTTCCCTGGCAAGCACAAAGGCCTGAGTTCAATCCCCGGTTCCGCAAAAAAAAGACAGTTACAGGATATTGAGATAGATCAAAGTTGTAATATTAATCTCAACAGTAGAATCAAATATGTAAATGTGAATGTTAAGCCTTGGAAAATGTCATGGTAGTTTAAGTTTGGGTGGTTGCAGCAGGCAAATACAATACACCCTTTGGTGTCTTGGAAAGAATCTAAAGATTGATGTTCTAGAAGGTCTAAAAGACTTATTTTATAAGAATAATGTAAATCAAGAGAATATGATTCTAGGGCAAAGAAAAAGTGGAAAAAGGAATAAATCTCTGAAGAATGTGAATAATTTTCTGGTACGGAATTCTCCTTTTTGAGGCAATCCTTGAAATCAAGAAGGGATTCTTCATGTCTGGTGGAAGAGCCTTGTTCTAAGTAAATCCTCGTTCTGAGGATGGCAAAATCCCAGTGTGCTTGGTGCTGTGACCATGATGTGTAACATCACGTATGTGAGTTTCTACAGGTTCATACCACCTTAGGTTCTATTCAGATAGGGGTATCCTACTGTGGTGTGACTTAGTGCCAAGTGAATGAGGGTTATTCCAGCCATCAGATGTTGTAGTAACCAATGCCAGACTACAACTTTCTTCCTTTGGCATTCTAGCCTCTTTAGATTGAATAGTCGCTGTGGGGTGGATAAGAAATCACTTCCCCTGGCTGGACCTTGCCAGTATTCTACTCTAGGCAAGATCGTGTTTTTAAGAAGCAACTGTGAAGTCCCCATTCCAGCATTGGCTAATTGTAGCACCACAGACTTCTAAGTCTTGTCATGACTGTAGTTTTTTCTCCTGCCTCAAGCGCCTTTGTCATCCACCACCGAGTTGGCTCCTAAGTCATAAAAAATACCCCCCATTCCATTTCTTTATTTAGTAATGTGTTCCAGATGAATGTGGCACTACAACCAGAGGTTAATTTTCCTTTAGCATCGCTGACTGACACTGGCATATGAAGGTCGTTAGGAACCCCAGCTATGTCAATTATGTTTCATCCTGAGTCCATATCTGGTCATGAATGGAATGCAGTTGGCCTTGTGTTGTTATCCTGTTGAAAGCACTCTCTGTGCTGACGTTGGCCTAACACATTTGCTTTAATGTGAGGCGGCTGAAGATCTGACTGGGAGAGGCCAGCTGGACGCCAGGCAGTCTCACAGACTACTGGCACCAGCAAAAAGACCATAGCTCAGAGGCTGCTCTTCAGCTTTCTGATTGTATATTCATGTTTGTCAAGACCAGAGGCATCACCTTATACTTTCCTAACTCACAGGAGGCTGAGGTGTAGTGTATGCACTTAGAATACACTAGTGTATTTCTTTGTTATGACTAAAACATAATATATGACTAATATCATGCTTCCACTTTTTATATATCTATTCATACCTGTTTTTATATATAATGTATAGAAAACACACATATTT